AGCCTACTACTACCACCTGCGACGTCGAAACCCACGAAACTGGTCGCCCACGCTGTGTTATTCGTTCCGACAATATCGTAAGCTTCTACTACCAGAACGTTAGGGGCCTCAGAACCAAAATAGAAGACTTCTTTCTCGCTGTCTCGGAGATGGACAAATCTTTGGGCCACAGTATCAAGTGTACCGTAAGGATCGCGATCCCATACGATCTGGTAAGACAAGAGGTGGTGGGGTACTAGTAGCTGTGCATACTCGATTGAGCTCCAGCATTTGTTCTGTCGCAGTGGATGCAGATATAGAACAGATTTGGGTAGTTATAGATGCAAGAGCTAGACATATTTACGTAGGGTCCGCTTACATTCCTCCTGATCTGGCAGGCAACGTGAACATTATTAGTAAGTTCGTTGAATCAGCTGATAGAGTTCTAAACTCGGCTCAAGAGCTGGATTTGCAAATGGTATTTGGAGATTTTAATCAACCTTCACTTGTATGGTACCCAACCCCGGATAGATTTGCCCTTACGGATCCCCACGAATCTTCGTTTCCACAATCCAGTATTGCTCTACTTTGTACTTTGTACAAAGCAGTTGATTTCGATCAAAAATGTAGGAAACAAAACCTTAGACCTTTTGTTCGTTAACGCAGACACCAGACCATTATGTGACGTCTCTGAGCCCCCTGAACCACTAACAAGCGTGGATCAATTACATCCGCCATTCCAAGTTCTACTGCAGTGTTCTCCGCCCACCAGGTTTGAAGAATTAAACGACGACAGAGAGTTCAACTTCAGTAAAACTGACTTTGCCGCTCTGAATCTGGCTCTCTCTTCCATCGACTGGTCCCGACTGTATGAGTCTGTTGACGTTAATGAAGCAGTTGATGTGTTCACCATCATCTTGCACCAGTTGTTCCGTGAACATGTCCCTCCACCACGTTCTCGCCCATCACCGCTATGGTCAAATAGCCATCTCCGACAACTCAAACGTGAGAGAGCAGCAGCACTGAGGAAATACTCGAGGGACAAGAACCCCTTCTCCAAGAGAAATTTCTGTGTTGCTAGTAACAGATACAAAAAGTATAATCGCTTTTTGTATGCAAGACATGTTCGTCGGCTTCAATCAGATCTCAAAGAAAACCCGAAAAGATTCTGGACGTTTGTTAACAACAAAAGAAAGGAAAATGGCCTTCCAACGAACATGTTCCTGGGAGACGAATCCTCTGACTCTATTGATGGTGTATGTAACCTGTTCGCTGAAAACTTTGCAAGCGTATTTGACGAACTTATGGTGGACGAAGATCAAATAAGAATTGCTCTTTCGGATGTTCCAGCGAATGCTCTCAACTTCCGCGTAGGTGACATCGCAGATACGGATGTGCCGGAAAATGAAGCCTTCGCTGTCAGCTGGACCAGATGGAATTCCTGCTACCGTTCTGAAAAAATGTGCTGAGAATGTCTGTGGGCCCTTGAGATTTATCTGCAATAAATCACTTTCAGACTCTGTATTTCCCGATAAATGGAAGGAAAGACAAAAGAGATATCGCAAATTACCGTGGAGTATTGTGTGCTGGGTCGAAGCTGTTGGAGATACTGGTGTACAACATGCTAATTCGTGCTGCTAAGATGTACATATCCCCGGATCAACATGGTTTTTTTTTCAGGGAGATCCACTGCCACTAACTTGATTCAGTTCACATCTAGCTGCCTTCTAAGTATGCACGATGGTCATCAAATGGATTCCATGTATACGGACTTAAATGCCGCATTCGATCGTGTCAATCACCGAATCCTGCTCGCAAAACTCGAACGCTTAGGAGTTGAAACTCGGTTTGTCAAATGGATGGAATCTTACCTTGTGAACCGTCGTCTTTGCGTGAAACTTGGCACTTTTGAGTCGCACACTTTCAGCAACAGCTCAGGAGTTCCACTAGGAAGCAATCTTGGACCACTGTTATTTTCCCTGTTTTTCAACGATGTCTGCTCTCTCCTACCAGACGGATGAAAAATCTTGTATGCAGATGATCTAAAATTGTACTTGATAATACGATCTATAGAAGACTGCCAGAAGCTTCAACAGTATATTGATCTCTTCGAAGGCTGGTGTGTCAGGAATCATCTCGTTATAAGTGTGAAAAAATGTGCCGTGATATCTTTCACCCGTAAGAAATCTCCAATCTGCTGGCCATACACGATTCGTGGAGAAGCATTGGAAAGAGTCACAAGCATCAGGGATCTTGGAGTGGAGCTTGATTGCTTCTGTCGTGTGGAGTCCTCACCACGAGGTCTGGATAAAAAGGATAGAAGCAGTTCAATCACGATTCGTAAGATACGCGCTCCGGTTCCTGTCTTGGAATAACCCAAACGATTTACCACCGTACGAGAGTCGCTGTCGCCTGCTAGGAATGACAACTCTGGAAAGCAGGCGAAGCCAACAGAAAGCAGTCCCCCTTATTCTGCGAGTAACGTGACTCTCTGTCACCGGTGAGGTGACAATTGTCACCTCACCGGTGAGAGAGAGTCACGTGACTCGCAGAATAGGGGGGAGTATTTGTTGCGAAGCTGCTGTTAGGAGAAATTGACGCTCCCTACATACTCTCTCGAATAAACCTTGGTATTACACCCAGACAACTCCGTCAACTTTATAAAACTTAAGGAAAATTGTAGAACTCAAAGGCAATTCAATCAATTCCAGTAAAATTGTGGGTTCTTTTAAAAAAATCCTAAGATATTCAGGGCAGTCTAGAGAATTTTAAGGAAATTGGGAAATATTTTGGGCGGTTTTGAAAACATCAGGAAACTCTAGACTATTGAAGAAGGTATGAATTAGTTTCGAAAAATTGACAAAGTTCTCAAAGTGAAAATCTATACTATATTAATTATTTCGTCGAAATTTCAGAATAACTTCGAAATCTTCAAAGAAGTACAGGGATCTTCAGGAACATTTCGAGAACTTCATAAAAGTCTATGGAACCCTAGGGAAGATCCGAGAACTTCAGGAACTTATATCGACATTTCGGAAGCATTTCAAATAAGTTTAGTAAAGCTCCAAAAACAAGGCTAATTTCAGGGGAGTTCAGTTCCATTAGTTTCACTAAATTAGCGGAAAATTTCAAGAAGTTCCCAAATTTTCAGAGAACTTAAGAGTTTTCACATAAGTCTAAAAGTTCACGGGAGCTTAAATTTTGTTTAGAACAATTCAATTAAATTCAGGGTAATACAACAAGCTTCATGAAAACTGCAAACACTTTAGAAAAGTTTCGAGAACTTCAAGAAAGATATTGATCTCGCTGAAAAAAAAGAACAGATATCCTCAGAGCAGAGATATTCCAGAGCAGCGAAATTACATAAATTTTAAAGAAGTTTAGAGAAATTCAGTGAATTGTTAAAACTTAAGAGAAGATTCATGACTGTTAGGAAAATCGTGGAAACTTTAGAAGGTCCGAAAAAGTTTAGAGAAGTTAACAACAAAGCTGAGAAGTATTTTGAGCATCGGGCTTGTTTCTCAAACTACAAAAGAGCTTCAAGGCAGTTTCATTAACTTCAGGAATATTTTGGGAACTTTCAAGTTGTTCTGCAGACTTCAGAATAGTCCATTACATATTCAACGGAGATTTCTCATGAAAATTTGCTTGGAGTTCTCCTCATCATTCGCTCGTATTCTCCCGAAACTCTTATGGAATTATTTCAGAAATTAACTTGAAACGCATCTCTGAATTCTCTAAAAAATATCATTAGAATATAGTTAGAATACTTCTCGCAATTATCCTCCGAATCAATTTTATTAATTTTTTCTAGGAATTGCCTTGAAATTCTCCTTATTAAGAAATCCCTTTCCATGGGATTTCTTAATGAGGATAATTTCAAAGCAATTCCCAGAATTTTCAATAAATTCATTTCAGATTTCTCAGAATTTTCATTAAATTCATTTCAGGTTTCTTTTTGAATCTCACTCCTTCCCTTGGAATTCTACTCACATTGAAAGCGTCCTAAGAATTCATTTACAGTCTCCTCATAAATTCCTTAGATTTCTCCCCTTAATTTGTTTGGCAATCTCTTCTGGAATTACTTTTTGGAATCTGTTTGAAGATCTCCTGGAGTTATTCTCAGATTTAATTGTAATCCTCCTTTTAGCATCCCCTTCACCCCCTAATTATTCTCAAAAAAAAACAATACGAGGACTTATGCTCCGATTTCAAATGTGTGAATGAAAATAACTATGAATATTGAGTAATAATAAGATTCCCTGAGACTTCCAGGTATTTTCAGGAGAAATTGAATTCCCTGAGAATTCCCGGTTTTCTGTTTTTTTTTTTTTCAGGCAGTAGACACTTGGAGGTTTAGTCTTTCTATAGAATCTTTCGCTTTAAAGGTTCCTATCGTACATATTTATATGTTTTTGAGGTTCTAATTGAATTAGTCTAAAACATCAAACATTCATTTGGTATGCCATCAGAACGACTAGTTTTATAAAATCACTATTTTTGACAGAATACTGTAAATTGAATACTCGTTTTGTGATCAAGTAGAAAAATGTAGTTGAGTTTTCAGTTTCCTTTTCAGTGTGATGTCACATCGGGCCTATCGAGCAGAAAACATTAAGTAGATCCACGATTTCTGCGTTAACAAGTAAATTAAGCGTTTGGAATCATACTTTAGTTCAAAAACTACCGAACGAAGACAATAAGAACACGAGATATGTTTTTCAGGCCTCCTTTAGCTCAGTCGGTAAAGGTGCAGCTTCAAAGCAAGACCATGCTGGAGGTGGCTGGGTTCGATTCCCGGTCCGGTCTACGATTTTTTCGGGTGACAGTAGCTGCAAACGAGCTTACAAACGGTCAAAATGCTGCGAGCTTGCCAAATCCATCAAATTAATACGTTTAGATTTAAAAATTCCAACGACATTCTTTTCTGGAAATAATCTTCCGACACTGGCAATGCCACGAACCATTAATGAGCGTGAAAACTAATTCCATCCTTTTGACCGTATACTCCAATCACACAGGCAGCCACATCACCCGGGCCTGGCGGACCTTCATGGAGGAACTGGAGCACACGGCCAAGCAGATCAAAGCCAACGCCGAACAGCTGGAGTCGGTCTGTCTGGACAAGTTGGCCCATTTGTACCAGGACAAACGGCGGGTGCGAAAGCAGTACCAGGAAGAGCACACCAAGATTGCAACGAAATTCAGCCATGTAAGTACTTTCTTCTCCTACTATACCGTAGAACCCCGTTGGTTTGAAATTAAATGGCGCTCTGGGTTCTAGCGTAGTGCATTTTTACCCAAAGCAACAAACATGTGATTCTGCTGATAAGGCACGTGTGTGATCAACGATTAGATTAAAGATGCATATTTGATGTTAAATATTGGAGAGATCCACGAACCACGGGAATTGCGTGCCTCTATTGAATTACTACCGCGCAGTGAATCACTGCGTATGGAAGCTATTAGTGTGGGTACGGAGATATGGGTATGACTAATTTGCTGTAAATTGCCGATTTAAACGAGTTTTCGCTTTCGCGCGAGGAAACAAGCAAAAACGCACTGTGCGATGAGATTTGCACAAATTCGCACGATGAGCTGTCATGCGTGGAATTCAGCGAACGGGAAGTAATTAGGGTCAATGAGGTCTCTGAAATTGCTGAGAACGTCATTTTCCAGAATGCTTCTGGATCTTCGGCAGCAGGTTCCGGACAGGTCCCTCTCCAAAAAAAAAATCCCAAATTGATAAATTCTTCGGTCGATCGCTTGTCAGCACTCTACGTACACCACCCCAAAGTAGTTATGACGACGGACGGATGTTTGCCCTTTCTGGCTGTGCGTGTGTGGAGCTAGCAGCTGGGCATGTGAGAATGAGAAAACAGTGCGCCATCAGTTCAAGTGTCCAGCACTCACAACATGCAACATTTATAGCTTTGTTGGTGCCGGAGCCAGAGCCAGCCAGGTCGTGTTTGTCGTCGTTGGAACAGAACTCACATCGACGGCGATATTTACCGTTAGTGGTGGGGAAAAACGATGGGATAATTCACCTACTAGTACCAGTAGTAATGACACTAAGTTGGCTCTATGCTTGTCGGACAATTAGGACAAGATTCATCATGGAGAATTTGGGAATATCTCAGATACGGTATAACCGATTGCAGTAACTTTCATAGCATTTGTGCTTATTTTAAAGCAAACTTTGATACCCTTCCCACAACGTCAAAGAATCATACAAACAAGCGTTGAACAACACTACTCTTTACTGCAAACAGCGAAAGCGCAATGCGCCCATTCATGCTGCCGAAAAAAGAAGCTAGAGCAAAACATTCAACTCCTGTAGGGTGACAGCGGCAATTTTCGGCATATGGTTGGTTGTTAATTACTGTCCCACTCGAACGATGCGGAAGATTTTCCGTATACATATCTATATCTATGTGAGTCACTGTCCTGCCGCGGAGGGAACAACTGCAACCCGGTGACAACGATGGCGACGACGCTCACAATATGACATTAGTAGGTAGCAAATAAATATACGTCGACCCATTTTACTACACCCGGTATTATTTGCTGTCCGGATCGGTCGGCGGACAGACAGACACGCGAAATCCACCAAGCGACGGCGACGGTGCCAAACAGTCCTCGGCGCTGCACACGGTTTGAATTCAAAGGCCGGGAGTGTTCACAGAGACACTGGTGGAAGATTGGACATTGGGTTCTGCTACAAGGGGGTTGTCAACGTCGGGCATTGCAAGCAATAATTGCACTTTTTTGTTGTTGAAAAGTGAAATGGGTCGCTCTTTGAAGTTTGTTTTTGGTCTACTTCGGTCACAGGTTGTGTACATTGGAATCAAAACACTGTTTTGGTGTATGCATAATCGTTCCTAATATATCTAATATTGAATATAAAGTATGCATGCTGATTACTGGAACTGAGTCCACGAACTGCTGCTCAGTAATCAAAAACAGTCGCCATTATGGCACCGAGCCCTTCTCATTGCGACACACCACTTATCATCGAGTTGAAAGAGTTTACCATTGGAGGGAAGTGATATGACCATAATGAAATAATGTGAAGAAGCCTGGGACTAAAAGCACAATCTTGTGTGCATTGAGAAATCGAGTAGAGGAGAGTTTAAGATTTGATAGAGAACTGACTTTGACTCTACTGATTTGGATCATTTATGATCTCCAGAATAAAACCTAATAAACCAGAAATCATAAAAATATAAAACAAAATCCAGCGGGCGAAGATTATTGATTAGATGGAAAAGTTTATGAGAATTCTGGTAACATGTGAGAAGATTTAAGCATTGAGATTTCAATTGTTGATACACCTGATCCAAGGCCTTGCAATATCCAGTCAAATTGATGAAAAACTTTGATCTTCCAACGTGGCATGACGGACAGTTAAAATTCATAAAAAAAATCCTGACCAACCTGAAGTCTTGAACAAATATCTAGACCTCTAAGAAGTCGTCAGGTTATTTGTTCAAGATTTCAGCTTGATCACGTATTATTCTGAAGATCTTTAACTGCACAACAATTCAACTCACATTTTCCAGCTATTCTCCTAAACACCAGGTTGCTCAGAAATTATTCCAAAGATCCCCAGGTGATCATAGATCGCCAAAAATTCCTCAAAATATTTGATCAAGACTTCAGCTTGATTAGGTTGATCATTTTAACGATTTACAACTGCTCATCAATTCAAATCACATATCCCAGCTATTCTCTCAAATACCAGATTGCTCAGAAATTATTTCAAAGACTTTTAGAGATTAGAGATTTCCAAAAGGTTCTCAGGATATTTGTTCAAGGCTTCAGCTTGATCATGTATGATTTTGAAGATCTTAATCTGCCCAACATTTCAAATCACATATCTCAGTTATTCTCCCCAAAAGCAGGTTGCCTAGAAATTATTCCAAAGAGCTTCAGGTGATCAGACATCTCCGAAAGTCCGCAAATATTTGTTTAATACTTCAGTTTGATCAGGTATCATTCTCAAGATCTTCAACTGCACAACAATTCAAATCATATCTCCCAGCCCAGCCAGGATTTGGTCAACCGTCCCAGAGCAGTATCTGAAGAAGGCTTCAGAAACCAGTTTCCTACCTAGCTCCTTCCAATCGAAATTGTTACCCATTAACCTCGAGCCCGCCACGAGTAATTGGTACCCAATACTAACCTAGAACTACTGCTATTTGAAATGTAAATTCAAATATTACTGATTTTGGCTCCGCAAAGTGTCACATACGACTGAGCCTAGTAAAAAAAAATATCTCCCACATATCCTTTCAAGATACCGGGTTTCTTAGCATTTATTACAAAGATCTCCAGGTGATCATAGATCTCCAAAATATCCTCAAAACATTTGTATAAGACTTCAGCTTGATCAGACATCATTCTGAAGATCTTCAACTACCCAACAAATCAAATCACATCTCCACCTCAGGTTTTTTCAAGATTTCAGATTGATTAATTATCATTTTAAACATATCCAGGTATTCCGTAGTCCATATCGCATTTTTCAGATTTTCTCTCATATGAAACACGGCAGCTTAGAAATTATTCCAAAGTCCTTCATGTGTTTTAAGATATCCATACAGTCGTCTGGATATTTTTTTCAAGATTTCAGGTTAATCAGAAGATCTCAAACTGTTCATCAATTCAAATCACATCTCTTGAAAATTCTCTCATGACGCAAGGGGGCTCTGAAAATATTTCAAAGACCATCAGGTGATCAGAAATCTTTGTCTATCCAATAAGTCACCTCATAGCTCAGAATGGTGTGGTATGGACGCATAACCTTTCTATATCACTTTGTTTATCTCTATCAAGTACAAATTGGCTCAATGTGGTTAGAATGCATCAATAGTTATTGCTTCTTGCTTTCACTTACTCTTACTCTTACTACTTACTTTACTACAGAGAAAAAAATATGACTCCGGATAATCTAGCCATTTCCTCTGCATAATTCAGCCCCGGATAATCGAACCCTCGGCTAATCGAACCCCTGGATAATCGAGTCCGACCTGTATAGCATTTCCTCCCAACGCTGAGTTTTTTGACGAAGGACTACGTCTGTAATTTCTATATGGGGGTACACTTTGTGAAAGCCGAAAATGGAACATGTAACAAAATTATGAAAGAATTTGAACGTTAATAACTCAGCTGCCCCTGGACCAATTTCAATAATTTTATCACCAATCGATCAGAAATATTTCTACGCATCAGCTAAATTTAAGGCTTCATAATTTTTCAGAGCGTCACTACTGAAAATTGCACAAATGTGTAACTGTTGCTATGATAATTAAAATTATCACCGATTGCCTGCGAAAAGCGATTTCCCTAACACAGATTTCAAAGTTGAATTACATCCGGTCTCACCAAACGGTGTTTATTCAATCACCGCGTGGTGAGTGGTGGTGTTCTCCAGTACACAACTAAAGGCTCCCCGCAAGCAGCGAGCTGCAGCCCACATGTGCATCCATAGAAGGAGGAAGAAGCCACATTGATCGGAATCAGTAGCTCTTCGTGAGTCGCTGTGGGCCATCTATGTCATCCTAAAAAGTATAAACAGAGAGAACCACCGACAAACCGACATGAAACTTAAACTCAACTCTTGATCGAGAATTCGTAACGGCCGATTCAAATATCTGTCGAAACCATAGAATTCTTTTATCTACATAAAAAATAATTTGTCCGCGATAGATTAGACACGAACCAACTCATACATTTGTACGCGTGCTCGTGGCTAGGATACACATTTTTCTCGAACACGGTGGCAGATGTCAGTTTAGTGCTTTGATCAGAAATGTCATGGTAATTTGTAAGGTCATTCATGTCGGTTTGTCGATGAGAGAACCCCGTTCAAATTCCTATTCCTACACAAAACGCAAGATCCTGCTGCAGTTAACATTCCTTATTAGAGATTTGAATAGATTTTTCTCCTTTACTTAAATCTTGGATTATTATTAGTTAGGTAGGTTCCGATTCTACACGCTGCAGTTTCATTTTTATACCTGTGGTCTTGACATTTTTACCTACGGGATGAGTACTTAAGGGGGTTAGGTTTTTGATAAGTCTTCCCAAGCAACATTGCCAGTTTTATTGAAGTTTTATAGCATACTACAAGTCTAAATCATGGTATACAGAACCCTCATAAAACCCAAATTGTTACTTGGGTTTAGTGAGAATGACACTGACTGCACA